TTTAGTAATACATTATTAATATTTCCATTCTGAGATTTAGTAGAATATGAATTAACATTATGAATACTATATAATGTGGAAAAACATAGCAAATCATACACAAATTAGAAAATTAAACCTGTGATCTACTATAAGGAACTACGGCACACAAGGCGAGGAGGCATCCAATAAACAAAGACGTGATAATTCGACGAGCAACGACCAGATAATTGACCTCTAAGCTAAACAAACCTGTACTCGTCGCCGTTAGGTACTGAGAGGCTGAGGCGATTACACGAGCATTTGCTTTGCAGCTCGAAAGCAGAGGAAGATACACCTACGTGGAAAAAATGTAAAATTACAATTCACGACGTGTCGCGCAACACGTATTAATTCAAGCGAGAAGTTTATTGTCCCCAAGAGATAAATCTGTAACCGCTGCTAAGTACCGTCATGCTGAAAAGATTACACAAGCGTTTCGAGACTTGGAAAGAAAGGAAACTGTACACCCACCCAGAGCGACTGAAAACTTGTGATTCGTTACATGCGAAGTTCTCAAATCTAATTATAGGGGGGGGGGGGGGGGTTTGGAATCTAAGGATTTAAACTAATTGACTGATTTGATTGAGAATCTTGGCAAGTAACTATTTAGATTTTTAGAACGGTAATACGAGACCTGGATTATTATATTTTCTTTTAGATATGAAGAAGGGAGGAACATTTGGAGAATACTATGTTCACTTTAATTCGTTTTTCTTTTTATGAATAATTTTATAAGGAATTATTGAGAAAGACATAAATGTTCCAAGAAGAATAGAAGATATTCTTATATTGACTTGAATAAAAATGTGTTCATTATTTTGACACGTATGAAGAATGAAAAAAAGAAAGGTACTCCAATTGTGAGTAGTACAAATACAATTAAATGAAGACGTACATAAAAATAAACATTGAGACAATAAAATCAATAAGAAAGAAGAATAGAAGCTATTCTTATATTGACTTGAATAAAAATGTGTTCATTATTTTGACACGTGTGAAGAATGAAAAAAAGAAAGGTACTCCAATTGTGAGTAGTACAAATACAATTAAATGAATACGTACCTAAAAATAAACATTGAGACAATAAAATCAATAAGAAAGAAGAAGAAGAAGATAAATTCAAGAAAAAGAAGATTCTAATGTATTAAAAAAAAAAATTGAAGTAGAATCAACGAATAAAAGACGAAAGGTGTGTATCCTCTATTTATTAATCGAAATTGTTATCTAAGGATCATTCCCATCTCCGTGGTCCACGGGTTGCTCGTCACTGTTGGCACAGCGTCTCGTTAAGGTCGTTGCCGCGATGGCAGCCTTTTTCCCGACCTACGACCGTTTTATCAGCGCTCCGTGGACGCTAATAGTCTTAAGAATCCGCGGAATAACAATGTGCTGCCGTGGAATAAGCGCCAGCAACAGATTCGATCTGCGTCCCGCGGAAGCTCGCGAACTGAACGAGATTTACATTTACGTCGCAATTATCAAACGTTATAGACTCGCGAAGACAGATAGGGAACGAGATGATGTTCGAAGTACGAGAAGGGACACCCATGGACGCGGGGAAATTTTAACGACGTACCCGAAAGATGACAGTCATTGTTTACCGCGATAGCTTACCCCCACCAGAGAATGCTGATAAAGTTTCGAAGACGATTCCCGCAACGACAACGCGCAATGATTGCATGGAAATTAAAAGGGTGCTGGAACATCGCGATAAAAGTGGATGGTGGTACATCTAGGGGCTCTGTGAGCAAAGTATCAAATTAACGAAAGTTTTCCATTGGCCACTTTATGTTCCAAGCATTGAAACTGATTAGATGCTTCGATTAGGAATTTTGATACTTACCGATTTGTATCCTGTGTATTGATATGATACTTCTGTTGTTATATTTGCTTTTACATCAAGAAAAGTGCTTGTTGAATTTAGTGTGGGTTTCATGAACAAAGAAGAAAGAAAGAAATTTTTCGTGGGTCACTTTATATTCGAAATATTGAAACCGATCAGATGATTTGATTAGGAATTTTGATACTTACTATTTGTATTCTGCGCACTGATATTATATTTTTGTTATTAGACTACGAATAAGTGCAAAATGCATAAAATATACAAAATAAAATACACGTCACAATGTTTAGAAGTCAATACATACTTTAATTTACATTACCATTCTTCGTTTATGTATATAAAGATATGAATTTGGATAAACATTAGCAGTATACTTATTATATTCGCTAATATACATTTAAAAAGGATGAAAATTTGTCATCTAAGAATATTATTTTCATTTTAACCGTACACACCGCACCAATAAATAAAGTAATCTCCCTTGATCCTGACTAATTCTGACTAATCTTTCTTAAAATTAAAATCTTGCATAATAAACAAGTGTATTATTTTAAATGAAACAACGAAAATGTCGCGACTAATATTTCCCTCGTAAATTCTTCAATTTCAATGATATTTATAATAATTTACTAAAATTTAGCACTTGTACTTGTGCTCACTACCAGCGAATGTATTATACCCGTTAAGTACCACGGCATTTAGATAGGAATACTTTTTACAAGTATAAGAGGGGTCAGCTTTTCGCGTCAAGGTAAACGATCGGAGATAGTAATATAATCGATTCCACGGGCATTGTTAAACCGCTTGTACTGTACTCCGTTTATGACTAAACGACAACCGCAAAACTTTTATGTTCTTTTTATAAATTCTATAAATTTTATAAATAGTTCTTTGATACTGTACAAATAAATAGCTCTTAATTACTTTATAGATAAACAGTTTTTCAACATTACATGGATAAGGAACTAGTTCATATTGATGAACTATTTATCTATATAATGTTAAAGAACTATTGTATTTCGTGTTAAAGAATTATTTATGTACATAGTGTTAAAGAACTATTTCATGTTGATGAACTACTCGATACTGTATAAATAAATGGTTCTTTAACACTAAAACTTTGTATACAGTACAAAATACGATCAGAAAATAATACGAAAAATTGTCTAACAAACAAATAAAATTATTATCCAGGTTCTTGTCACTTTATCTTTAGTAAAATCTTTCTGTAAATTCTGGAGGATCTGTGTTCAAAACAAAGTCATCTTGTACCAACGAAAGGTCACCGGGACGGTAAAACGGGCAAAAAGGGATAGACTGGAAAGTATCTTAATTAACTATCCTCGCGCAGAGATAAGAGGACAACTGGCGAAGGCGTGCTTATGGGTAATAAGTTCTCGGCAAAGAAACCTTCAAGGTGCTTCATTAAGGAATCAATTGCATACGTATGCAATGTATTTACAGAAAAGATTACGTATCTAGTTGGGAACGATCGGATTTCAAAATCACGAGATAACGCTTATCTCCAGCTTTGTAATGAAAATAACATTCGCCAGAAGTAATCGAAAATGTGAGTCGAATACTTGATTTTAATCCGAAAGGGAGTTCTAAAGTTAAATATTATCATTATTAAAATGTTGCTCAAAACAGAAAATCAATATTTTTCACGATTCGGAACTCTGAATTGAGAAATTAAGAATCAAGGAATGACTATGTACAATATAATAATAACTTTCATAGTGTGCTCGATCTTCTAAATTAACTTATACTACCCAAAATCTTATAATATTATATTATGTATGATATTACAAATTATTGTAAGTTACAATTATATCTACCCAGATTATATTTGTTTGCGATATAAGCAATATTATAACATTACATAATATAATATATACTGATATTGTATTATTATATCACGTATACTCTGAAAAATATAATTTGGATACATGTGTTTTTTAATTCTCTTGAGCATGTTTAGAGTACAGTGTCGATTATCGGGCCAATAAATATCGTACATCCGATTTTATGTTAAATAAAATGGTAAATGAAAACGTACGGTACACGTTAGGTAATGGAACCATTACCATACAACTATAATAATATAAAATGACACGACATAAAGCTGCTAGTGTTACAAACAACATGCAAGAAAAATGCAATTCTACCGACAACATTATTTACAATGTCCGAAAAAAAATAGTGACGTACTTCGAGACACTACATCATACGGTAATAGCATTTACTAGAGATCGTTATGCTAATAACATGTTACATTAACATAGCTTCCGAATGGTACGTACTTTATTAAAGACTAAATAACTCGTTACAATGTATAAACCAGAATTCCTGAGCAAGTGCAAACTACAATCGGCGTGAAAAAAGTATTCAGTTATGGAACTGTAAACATGTAACGATGGGATATCAACTGGACGTGTTTTTACTCGTTAATCTTAATTGCAATTTGCGCTTTTATCCTTCGCTTGTTAATTAGTATTCTATTATAATGAGTACCTACACCAGAGAAATGAGGACAGAAATAATAAATATTATAATTAGAATTAGTTGAGATACTGGAAACAGAGTTTTGTTAAAAAATTATAGAGATAGAGAGATTATAAAAATCTTTATTATAGACTATAAAATTCTAAAGATTATAAAAATGTTGATCATAATTAAATCTTGCTCAAAGACGACAGGGGAGTGTTGTACTTTGCGAACAGTTTTTTAATATCTCGGTATTTGTTTAAGAAAAATTTGTATCATAATATTTGTTTACAGACTTTTTCTAAATGACTAATATTTTTTGCTAAATGAATAATGACTAGACTGACGATTTTATGCATTTATGACATTCAATAATATAGAAAACATACGAACAATATACTACGTTGACTTCACAGTCAAACATCAAAACCTCCCAAAAGAAAGGTCATTGGCCCTCTATCAAATAAATGTGATACTACCTAGCTTCAAATAAACATAACTCCTAAACTAATCACGATAGGGAACCGCAGTTTGCGACATTATTATTCTAATAAATTATATTGAATATAAAAGCCACTAAAATCGCGACGGCCCATAATTTTATCATTCCCCAATCTTGTCTAAACATTCCCAACTCTGCATTACATACCGTCCACAAGGCATGACGTGTGGAATAAACAGAGGAGCGCCAGAGCGAGAAAGCTCGCAATGCCGCCGTCGCACGCGCCTCTCATCTTCCCTCAGCTTTTCGTCGCCGTTGTGTCGCGTGTCGTCGTCGTCGTCGTCGTCGTCGTTGTTGTCCCGTCCACGGCCTCTCCACGCTCCTCTCGCGAAAAAAAGCGATTTTCGCGAAAGCGGCGGCAAGGCTCAATGGCGACGACAGTAAACAGCGGCACGAGGATCGCGATCGACGTACGCACGGCGATACCTCGATGCCCGTAATATCATCTTCTTGGTCGACGCGGGGATAAGGCCAAGTTTCCCCGTCGACGGAACACTTGTCACCGTTGATCGCTACTCATGCGAGCTCACACACACGCGTCCACAGAACCTAACGCACAGTGGTTCTTCGTTACTCGGCTCTCGTGTTGTTTTCCTTTTGCTCACCGCGTCCCACTGTCATTGCTCGAGGTTAGGTTAATAACAGGCATAACACAGCCGTAACCGAACGCTTGTACTTTATTCCTGCACGTTAACTCTCGTTTTCTTCACTCTATACAATCTTGACGCGACGAACACGTATTATTATTATCGTCGCTAGTCGTGTGCAATGTATACGCGCTAACGAGGTGTCTTCTCCTTTTTTTTATCGAACCAACGTTGCACCACGCACTTTGCCGGGGTACGGTGGAGGTTATTTCTTTTTTGTCCCCCCGGTTCGTTAGTTTGTCGCGTTATACGGTGTACTCCGTTGCCCCTCGTCGTCTACGCCGCGCAAGGCGAGCCGCCATTTTCCTACTGTGCTGATAGGCCCGGCCTATTATCCCTCTTGGCCAACAGAAAGAGAAGACACGCGCGCGCGACAAGGAAAAAAATAACAGCGAAACGATTCACTGCCACCTTGATGAATGGTACGATTTCGTATGTATCACGCGGCGGCAACGCTCCGGCATCGTCAGCCAACGGCTTCGTTGATGTAACCTACGAGAACACTGCTGTCACGCGGACCACTCGCGAATTTTCACGACGTACGCGGAGCGAACGACTTATGCTGTTGCTACTGCTGCCGCTACTGCCGTCACTGCCGCTGCTGCTGCCTCTGCTTCTGCAGCAAGTAGTTCCTTCAACGGCGCCATCGCTCTTCTGTGGCAGGGCCGTGAGTGACCACCACGGGCCTCGACTTAGCCAGGGACGTAGGCGACAATTCTGTCTCCACGTGGCAAAATTTAGGGATAGAAATTCATTCTGTGCACGTTGACTGCCAGACAAATATTCTTTAAAGTTTCTACTAAAATGAAATATTATTTAACCTATTGGAGACTGCATAATCAAACATTTATCGACATATTTATTCTTGTAATTTCATCAAAATTCATGAATTTGGTTTAAATTCATTTCCTTTGATGCTTGACATTCGGAATTAATTTTGTTAGTTTCTTCAGTGGAAAGCACTGTCACCCACATGTGGGTGACATGGCGATCAACGTGTTAATCGTAACTCTAGTTTGAGTAGGTATACTTATTTGTCAGTTTGTTACATTCAAGTACCAATCTTCCAATGATTTCATCTCTGCAATCAATCTATATAGAATATATAGTTAGATAACCTGTTTCAAACCATTTCAAACTCGTAGCCATTAGTAGAGTGTATCTGTATGTACGAAGTTCATTAGTCAACAAATTTTATTGTCGTTTTTGTAATGGATTATAAGTGTACTTGGTAATTATAATAATGGTAAAAGTGTAATAATAAGTAATAGTAATTGTAGCGTCAATCAGATTGTGACTTAGATTACGAGTATAGATTCATGGAAATAAAGAATAGGTTAAAGACTTGGAACTGGTACTCTAACATGACGATATGACGAATGAGTATATCTGTTTAAACTGGAGTTGTAAATAATTAAATATAAAAACACATTTATTTGTACATGTAATAAAGGGAAATTAATCCTTCCTTCTAAATCTCGTACAATATCGTGAGCCCGCGTGTTTCGCGAATTCCTACTTACGCTACTGGACCATTCGCGAAATTTCTATTAATCGGTCGCCCTGTTCTTTTACCTTTCGTATATTGGTTACGTTTGAAGTTTTACTTAATCATCATTGACTCCAAAACAACTCAAGTATTTGGTGAATGGTATAAGACATTTTTGTTTGCACAATTACTCCACGCCAGTTGCTCATCAAAAAAAGGTAGTTAATTATCAGAACGATATTCGAAACAATTAGTTGAAAGTTAAAAGTTCGTTTTTAACATTCACATTTTTTTAATTTAAAACATTTTTCGAAGCTCAAAATAATTAGATATTTGGAAATTATGTAATTTCTATTTTTTTTTACCACATTTCAATAGTATGCAGATTTACGAAAATTTGTACATAATATTCCAAACTCCATATTTTCTCTTAGAGTATAAAACAGTATACTCTTAAGAATTGATATATGAGAAGCTAATAAGATCGATTTTTTTTCCGTCGGACTCGCGTTCATTGAGTGGAATGTACCACCGAAATGCTCGTCTAAAAATAGCGAAACATTTCGTCTAGGGAATGCCAAAGAAATATATACACATTGCAAAGAAATGAAAAATGGGTTGGAAATTAAATGTTGTGTCTTAGAAAATTTTCTATCAACGTTTATTTATAAATTTTATCCGTATATAACCAGAAAAGTAAAGATATTATATTATATGAAACAAGTTTATGCCCAAACACAATTTTTAACAGTTTCATATAATTAGATACATTGAAAATGATTTTTTGTAAAACTATTGTGAAAAATATAGTTATTCGTTAATTTATCGAGATTGTTTTTACGAATGGTATATTTTGCACGCATATACCAATTATGATGTAATGTCAACATTACTCGTGCGCTTTACTTCACTCGTTCTTAACGTTATCGCTACGAAGAAAAATATTTATAATACTTGTAAAACTAAAGTGTTACCCATCGAACGATAAGGAATCGCTTTAGTAAAGATATCGTCACGCTTTTGAAAACGGCATAACCATTAAGAAGGAATCGATTAAACGTGTAAAAATATTTGTATGAGGATATACAATTTAGAATTAAATCCTAAACTATAGGAAATATTTCTTACAAAATGCAAAGTAGGATTATCGACATAACTTAATTGTAATAATGACGTATGTAACATATGCAATTAATTATTAACCTATTTCTTTAATAAAATGCAAAAATTTATGTGCAAGTACATTTTACAGGAATGTACTATACGTCGAAACTTATACTCGTAAAATTTGTAGCATGTACACAATATTCCACTAGAAGAAAAAATACTTAAAATCTTGCTTGGTATTATAGAATACTATTTATTGGATCGTGTAAATGCCCATAATTGATAAATTTGCAATTGAACTTGCAACTTATTTCGGCGAAAAGTCAGAGATATTAGTTCTTATGATTATAATTAAAATAATTATGAATGCTGTTAATACATCATACTATCAAAGTATGTAAAAAATATATACAAATATTTGAGGCAACTGAGATTGTTCGTCATTGCAAAACTCTGATAATCACTGTATTTTGTGTACATACTCGTCCCAAAAAAGACGTTTTCTTTAAATATTTATAGTGATAAAGTTCAACTGAATTACTCTTGAATACTCCTGTAGTAATATCAATGCTTGCTTTCGAAACCTAGTAAACTTAAATATTCACAAAAGTGAAACTTATTTCATTAAAATGATTAGGAATTCATTTACAGAAATTTCTGAAATGAGTAATGTCGTTATGTTTACAGCTTCTTCTGTAAATAATTAAAAGAATGTATTAAATTAAAAATATTAGAACTTGTCCTAATTTTCCGCGCGATTTTATCTATATTTGAGTTTGGCTTCCCCATGTTCTTGAAATTGCCGTCCTTGTAGTAACCTTCTTTCCAATAGTTTGAACAATAAATCCTATCTGTTGTAACATATCGTGGTCCAAAATTTTCCGTCCGTCGAAAATGTACGCTGGTTTCATCATGTTATAGTAGATTTGTTTATAATCCAGTTCCTAAAAAATTGGAGAGAACGACAATTAGTTACAGAATTATATGTCAAACATTTGTTCAATGCAATTGTTACTTACTATAAATTCGTCCCATTCGGTACACACGACAATAGCGTGCGTGTCTTTTGTAGCGCTATAAGCGTCCTTATAAATATTGATTCTACTTTTTACATACTCAGGATTGTTCGTTACGCTGGGATGCGTCAAATCCTCCATAATTTGAGTTTCTTCGACCTACACAATGAAATACCAAACTTTGAATAACGTAAATAACGTATGAATGAAGTACACAGAGTGTTTCTTATGAATTGTTTAATGTAATTCTTCAGAGTAAAAAAATAGTAACAAGAAAACGATTATATTCTAGATAGAGATGTCAAGAATATTTACAAAGTCACTACTTTAACGGAATGTATACATTCGTATAAAGACAAAAAACTTAATAAGTCGAGGTGAACTAGATCGAACGATCGATTCTACTGGGAAATATTGAAGCATGACACGTTTAACAATAGATCTGTAAAACAGAGAGAACAAACCTTGGAGCCAGATGCTCTACCTTTTAAACTGAGAGGCAAGTTGCCCGGATACTGCAACACGAAAAATTGCCAAAATTTAAATACGTTTTACTCTGAAATATTTTAGTGACGACATTGATCTGCTTTTACAAAACATATAGAATGGGGAAAAAAATGAAATAGACCTTGAGGTCTTCTTGACACTTCCACCGGAATAAAGCAACTGATATTATGCATGAATTGTTTTTGTATCTAGTCTAAAAATGGGCAAAATTTCATTTGGATGTTTATCGGATTGATTTCTACGGATTTCACTCTGTACTTAAAATTTTTATTTTTATTCAACAAGTAACGAATCAAAGTTTATTAACTTTTTTTTTATGAAGGATTCTTAACTGGTTTTTGAGCAGTAGAAGATTACTTTCAGATTATATCTAGAAGTCTCAGTTTAAGAAACAATAAGTATGGGCACTAATTTCTAGTGCTTTAAATCCCAAATAATTGGCAATCTAATGAATCCTAAGATAACCAATCACCTAATTTAGAATCACTTGGCATGCAAACCAACTTGAAAAATTAATCACACGCCATGTTTCAAAGTAACCTACTGTATCTATACTGCCCAGAAACAATAAATTTTATACACTTTTAAAATCTTTGTTCCTTTCTTGAGCAAAATATTACACCCAACAAACGTTATTTATCCTTCGTTCGCTAAAATAAAATCGAAACTATTATCCAGATGAGAATATTGCTCATCTCTGACGTGTTTTCGTTAAGGAAGATCACCTTGGGATCGTATATGTGAAGCATGGCACCCTCGTCGAGCAGGGTCTTAGCAACGTGAATGGCCGGTGACTCACGCGTGTCGCCGGTGTTTTTCTTGAAGGCGAAGCCCAGCATAGAAATCCTTTTGTCCGTGACGGTATTGAACAAGGACTTTATTACCTTCGCGGAGAACCTCGACTTTTGGTATTCGTTCATGTTTATGACCTGTTGCCAATATGCCG